GAGTCAAACATTATCATAGCAACATTTACTGGGATCCCTGCAGGTTGGACTTTTCGTTGTAGAACCTCTTGTTTTGGTGCAGTTTGCATATGGACTTCTGTTATCGAATCTTTRCYWTCGGATCTTGTGATATCAACACGAACAAAATCTGCATTCACAGTTGCATTTCCTTCAAAAGATTCTTCTGTGAAGTCAACATTTAACATCGTTCAATACACAGTAAATATATTCCATATGCGTTTATGTTTGTAATTTGAAAACTGATGAGCCAATCAGGTTGTAGTTGGTCAYGTGCCAGAAACACGTGACACGTCTGTAACACAAATATTTTAATTTCAGTAGTTTAAATCTAAGAACTTGCTAAACTGCTTGGCATCATTTAATTAAACCAACCAATTTCGTTGCCGACTTTTACGTCACCGTAGGGAAGATACTTCCCTCGTTGTACTTTAATTTCATTTAGCTGGTAAAAATTCCACAGGAGCGAGACCGTAAATTACAGGTATTTGATGACAACCTAAAGAGAATTAATTTACCTCTCAGTGAACGAAATGCAAATTTTTCTGCGCAGTTTTTTCCAACTTCAAGAAGACCATCGTTTTCAGGAATATCGGGGTGACTTTTTGACTGTAGGCAGAGATGGCTGTTTTCAACTCGCAGTGTGCCGTACAAGACGTTGAACTTTGTTGAGCAGTTTTGCGCTAAGGATACGTGGTTGGTTTCATCTGTTGACAAATTAAGGGTAAATTTACGTTTGTTATGGGTTAGGGAGGGGGTGGGGATTGATGTTTGAGTTTTGAAGTTCACCATCAGTTAACAAAGATATACAAATAGATAGCAAAATGAATTGAAAATTTGCCCAGTCTGAATGGCATCAGCCTTCTCAGACAACTCTCGTTTTTTAATGTTCGGGGTCCTGTGTAAATCAGTTATGTACACAGTCTCTAGTCTCTCTCGCCAACTCTTGTACAAAGGGACCCCAAGTTCGAGTCCTGTTTAAGTGCTGCTTGCAAGGTATGCAAGAGATACTAGATGAATGAATGAATAAAGCCTTTATTTAAAAATAAAATTAGTAAATAAAACCAGGGTATAATTGATATAACTTACGGTTAACGTGCAAACAAAGACCACTAGAGTTGTGTTTTATGGCTTTGTCTGGAGTCATAGTGAACTGTATTCGACCGAGGCAGCAGTCCGAGTGGAAAACTACTTTTTCACCATCACTTGGATTTGCTTGGCCTCCAAAAGGATGAAGACATTTCTTGCTGCTCTTGTGCATTATGCAGCCACTAATGCCTGTAAAATAAGTCAGTTACAACCATTAAGTTAATTAAAATTATTTATTCGTTAGGTGGGTACGAGTTTCTTTATGAAACCAATACAACGCACTGCGCCCAAAGCACTTAGGAATGGGCCATTAGATAAATGGGGAAGGGGAGGGGGGCTGCAGGAATTAAGGTAGGATTAAAATTTTTTTGTAAGTAGCAAAATTTTATTTGAGCTTGCTCGATTTTTATTTTCTGAAAGGCGGGGATTGGGCGATTTTTTTGGGGGGGGGGGGGGGGGGGGGGGGGTCAGTTTACCCAACCCTCAATCAATAATGTAATGGTCGGTCCCCTAGAAACCATCTACCATAATCCTTTTATATCAAATTACTGTTTCATGTTTTAAATGCGGACCAGCTTTTAAGTTTTACGTTGTTTTATTGGTCTAGTTTTCGTGAGAATCATAAGAAATACTTGATATATCGAAAATTCAAAACAATCCATTAAATGGAGATGCTTCTACATCAAAATGTTTTATATATCAGTGTGGACCAGCTTTGAAATTGAATTTTACTGAGACCGCAGTCATTTAGACTTTTTTTCTGCCCATAATCATGAGTTTGATATTAAAATTTGCACACAAGCTGTATATGCTCGTACACGTTGCTAATTCAATGTTTACTCTCATTCCAGTTTACTCAGGCGCCAAATTATCAGAAATTAATTGAATTAATGAGAGAAAATATGGCCTTGTCACAATATTTTGACCCCTAAGTAAACTAAGACGAGGAAAACAATTGCATTAGCAAAGTAGTTTTTTTTGTATGAATAATGAGATTCTGCCGGAAAATTTCAGAAAAAAAGTAAAAAAAAAAACACTAAAAATGTCATTGTTTGAATTTCCTTCGTTCTAGGCCAACAACTTATTAAAATAAGTGAAAATAAAGTACACCATTAGGGTTTATGTTAATCAAATTACGATATATGAAAAATCTTGTTAAATTAAGGCGCTAGTTTTGCGAAGCGAGCGATAATAAGATTGAGCAAAATTCGCTCTGAATAGACCGTTTTCTCAAGGCTGCGTGCGCATCCAAATTTAAGGAACTTGGCGGGCCACGATACCAGAACACGAGCTTTATGATGAGTATTATCATGCATTACTATGATAAAATAGATTGTTTTCCTCTTCAAATATAAAACTGTCTTCTCAATTTTATTGAATTTTCCTTTTTTTAGTTTTGTGGCCCGTCAAGTTGGATGCGCACACAACCTTGAGAAAACGGTCTATCAGTTGTGACCACCTTTACCAGGCCACGCATGCGCAATACCTTTGCACACTAATTTTATCCGTTTTTCCATCATTCTAATCATCGAAATCCCAGCAATCGAAGAGTTTTGAAAAATAAATATATATAGCTACTGCACTGAAGGTAAATTTGGTTTACTTATAAACTTTACTTGGCACGGACTGATAGTACAAAAGTTATTCTTCATAGCTATTCAAAACAGAAAGACCTTTGGTAGGAAAGGATGTTTATGGTTGGATGTTTATGGCCAATCCAAGATCTACGAATAACTGAAGCAAAACCCTTGAAAAAACAAGTGAATTTTGAGTTTTTATTTGCATACCTGGTTCAACTTCATAGACGTTCTTTCTTGCGTCTTGTTTTGAGTTCATAACGACGAGTGGTTCCGAAACGATTGAACTGAAGTCATCGCCTTTCGGGCGGCTGATAATTCTGTAAGCTACAGCAACTACGCCGTCTGCTTTAACTTGAAGAGTGTTATTCTCGAAAGAAGAATGTAGTTTACCGCAGTCAAGAGGAGGTGAAGGAACTATTAGACTTTTGACGCTTTTGTGGAATGGGTCAAGGACTGGTAACTTGCAAATGGGTTCGTTTACTGAATGCTTCTTGGCCGACAATTGCTGTAGGTAAGCTGGTATTTTTTCACCTCGTACGAGATGATAATCTAAGAGAAAATTGGCTCCAAAGTCTTTTGATGGCGCTTTTTCTTTGTGTTGAAAGAAAAGTCCAGTTAGGGTTAGTATCAGTCCCGTACACAGTATTGCCGTGAAAAACCGGCGAAATCGACGACGAATCAAGAAAGGAATGCCAACCAAACTACAAAGGACAACCAATACTAGATAAAACATCCTTGGCCCGAGAAGCTAGGAGTTTACAACCTCTTCACCTCAGCCATAGTTTCAATTGTCATCTTGTCCCTAGCTATGACGCTGATCACGTGGATTACCAACAGCTAGCCAGTCAGATATCGGCACTTTTTTCCATCAACGCGCACTCTTAAGATAAAAAAAGAAAAAAAGAAAAGAAAAGAGGAATTTCAATTTTAAATTAACTTCGATAAATAAGAGTGTCGAAAGATTACCGAGAACAGAGGCAACAGAGTTATTCCGCACAGGAGCATTAAAGACAGCAAATGCATACTTTTGGACCTTAGTATAGCAATTCGTTATTAAGATTGCCCAATAGAATATAGAATGTCCGACAAGCCAAACTAGAATTCAGAACTAAAGGATTCGTAGTATTCAATCATAAAGTAAATAATCAAACGAAACCGTTCAAAAATTCACCCTGGGTATCTTTCGAATGAATTTATTTATTCAACTAGAGCGAACATTACCATTATTTTTCTTCCAGAGCTGAGCAGCGCCAGACTGATTGGAGTGAAAAATACCTCTTCCCTGAAATGATCCTTTTTAAAGTTGATCTAGACTTTTACTAGACTCTTATGCAGACGTTTCTTAGTTTGTCCGAAACGTTTCCCTATGCGTATTTATAGCGTGCAGCCCGACCAGTTCTTTGTAAAGAGCTGTTTTCAATAAAGTATTGGATTCTAATGGTCTAAAAAAGCTAACGGAGGTATAAAAATTGTTTTTTGTTTGAGTTTTATTTCGACTTTGAATTTCTGGCATTGGGGTTGCTGTGTTAACCTACGCCGCTCGTAAACTGGAAATTAGTCATGCACAAAATGGCGGACACTGAAGGTCTTCACCTATCAAATAGCCTGTACAAGCAAATGCGGATCTAGCGGGGGGGCAAAGGGGGACTGAAGCCCCACTTCAGCAGAAATGAAAAAACAATTCAAAACTGAAAAATTTAGATGCTTTTTTTTAATTGTTTTCCGTTGTGTTGACGGAAGAAAATCACAGATAGCTTTCCTCTAGGCTAAAAGCAAATTCCCCACACTCCCCCCTCCCCTCTTGGAAGCCGATGACATGTGCATATATTCGAATGCATTATTATCAAATTATCGCGACGAACACATGCAAGTGAAACTCAAAACCCGGCTGTATTCAAATTTCGACCTTTCATAATAAACTGTTGTATTATTTATATCTATGGCTTCAGTTTTGAAAGCTTCTGGTCAAAATTCCAACCGCCAAGAGAGCTAGATAATTTGCGTTCGGTCGGTTTTAGTAACCTTTCTTTCTCGCTTAAAAGTTCTAATGTGAACGCACATATCGGCACTGAGTTTGTCTTTAAATTGGTGGGTTTAAATTGACGTACTAGACAGGAGAACACAGAAATATATTCTGTACATTATTATCAGTATAGACATTTCCGTTGTAACACGTAAGCGGTCTGATTCATTCGTCCTGAAGGCGGTAAAAAAACACTGACGGTTTTATAGTGTTGGGGAAAAGGGCTTTGTTTTTAGTATAGACATTTCCGTTGTACGGTCAGATTCATTCGTTCAGAAGGCAAAAAACACTGTTAAAAAACAGAACCCTTTTCCTCTAACGCTATCCGCCAGTGTTTTTTACCTTCTGAACGAGCGAATCACGGACCGCTTACGTTACAACGGAAATGTCAGTAAAATAATACTCAGGTTTGCTTTCGTAATTGCAAGAAAGATATTTACAGTCGTATCCTTCATTTCAATCACCCCTATCCTCAAGTCCGTATTTTCTCGGGTTCAGTCAATGTATTGGACCATACCTTTCTTAAAGGAAGAAATATAATACTCTGAAGACCAACCTATTTTCGAAACAGCTTTTCCAGGAAGCTTAAAACGCTGAACACGCTCTTCAATGTTAATGCTCCACAATGACGCCAGTTTCTAAAGAGAAATGTGACACCTAAAGTCCTCTACAAACATTACGTTAAAAAACTGGTTTGATTGGCTTGCTATTTGAACTTTCGTTCAACGGTCACACAACACTCACGCTTCTTGACAAATCATTTATTACTGGAACTTTTCTTGTTCTTTGATATCCCTCTCCGAAAATTCCGAAGCCTATTTAAATTTTACTCAAAATAAGAAAGGACTAACTGAAATTCTGGTTCATAATCATTGAAATGAAGAAAGATTTAAGAAACAGCAGAACTGCTAGGGATGTCTCACGCGATCCCCAGTGGACTCTGGAAACTATCAGTCTTGAGGGCAGCTAAGGGATGCCTTAGGAGATCCACAGGGGACTTTGGGATGTGAGAGACACTAATAGTCATGTGAGTCGCTTATAGTCATAAGAGTAAGCCAGGGACAGGGGACAGTAAAGAAAGTCCAAGGGGACTCAGGGACTGCAAGACAGGGACAAACGACACCATAGGCCAATAGAGCTGAAGATGGATGTGATATCTATATCAGGTGCTGGAATTTCACTATTTGATGTGAGGTAATGTCTAGCCATGCTCACACTCTCACATAGCTTTACTTTTGGTTATTAATATCAAAAGAATCAAGGAAAGAATCAAGGAAAGATGCAGATTGAGGTAAAATAAATAGTAAACGCCTCACCTAGAATTTCAAAGAGTTGAAGAAAGCATACAGAAATCGCTTACTAGTGCCGTTTCGTCGACATATATATGTTCAAATTTCTACCAATTTGAAGACTCGTAGGTTGAACAATTCATGTTAAGAAGCACTCTTCAGTGAATATGAAGGAAAACTAAAGCCAGACTTCGACTTTCTGAGGTATTTATTTGCCATAAAGAATGGCCAGAAAGTCACAATATTGAGCAAAACTATAAGCATGATAAACGATCGAAGCCGTGTGTGTCAGTTCTGAAACATCGATTTATTACAGGATTCGCTTCAAAACTCAATAAAATAACAAAGAACTANTCACCTCGTACGAGATGATAATCTAAGAGAAAATTGGCTCCAAAGTCTTTTGATGGCGCTTTTTCTTTGTGTTGAAAGAAAAGTCCAGTTAGGGTTAGTATCAGTCCCGTACACAGTATTGCCGTGAAAAACCGGCGAAATCGACGACGAATCAAGAAAGGAATGCCAACCAAACTACAAAGGACAACCAATACTAGATAAAACATCCTTGGCCCGAGAAGCTAGGAGTTTACAACCTCTTCACCTCAGCCATAGTTTCAATTGTCATCTTGTCCCTAGCTATGACGCTGATCACGTGGATTACCAACAGCTAGCCAGTCAGATATCGGCACTTTTTTCCATCAACGCGCACTCTTAAGATAAAAAAAGAAAAAAAGAAAAGAAAAGAGGAATTTCAATTTTAAATTAACTTCGATAAATAAGAGTGTCGAAAGATTACCGAGAACAGAGGCAAYAGAGTTATTCCGCACAGGAGCATTAAAGACAGCAAATGCATACTTTTGGACCTTAGTATAGCAATTCGTTATTAAGATTGCCCAATAGAATATAGAATGTCCGACAAGCCAAACTAGAATTCAGAACTAAAGGATTCGTAGTATTCAATCATAAAGTAAATAATCAAACGAAACCGTTCAAAAATTCACCCTGGGTATCTTTCGAATGAATTTATTTATTCAACTAGAGCGAACATTACCATTATTTTTCTTCCAGAGCTGAGCAGCGCCAGACTGATTGGAGTGAAAAATACCTCTTCCCTGAAATGATCCTTTTTAAAGTTGATCTAGACTTTTACTAGACTCYTATGCAGACGTTTCTTAGTTTGTCCGAAACGTTTCCCTATGCGTATTTATAGCGTGCAGCCCGACCAGTTCTTTGTAAAGAGCTGTTTTCAATAAAGTATTGGATTCTAATGGTCTAAAAAAGCTAACGGAGGTATAAAAATTGTTTTTTGTTTGAGTTTTATTTCGACTTTGAATTTCTGGCATTGGGGTTGCTGTGTTAACCTACGCCGCTCGTAAACTGGAAATTAGTCATGCACAAAATGGCGGACACTGAAGGTCTTCACCTATCAAATAGCCTGTACAAGCAAATGCGGATCTAGCGGGGGGGCAAAGGGGGACTGAAGCCCCACTTCAGCAGAAATGAAAAAACAATTCAAAACTGAAAAATTTAGATGCTTTTTTTTAATTGTTTTCCGTTGTGTTGACGGAAGAAAATCACAGATAGCTTTCCTCTAGGCTAAAAGCAAATTCCCCACACTCCCCCCTCCCCTCTTGGAAGCCGATGACATGTGCATATATTCGAATGCATTATTATCAAATTATCGCGACGAACACATGCAAGTGAAACTCAAAACCCGGCTGTATTCAAATTTCGACCTTTCATAATAAACTGTTGTATTATTTATATCTATGGCTTCAGTTTTGAAAGCTTCTGGTCAAAATTCCAACCGCCAAGAGAGCTAGATAATTTGCGTTCGGTCGGTTTTAGTAACCTTTCTTTCTCGCTTAAAAGTTCTAATGTGAACGCACATATCGGCACTGAGTTTGTCTTTAAATTGGTGGGTTTAAATTGACGTACTAGACAGGAGAACACAGAAATATATTCTGTACATTATTATCAGTATAGACATTTCCGTTGTAACACGTAAGCGGTCTGATTCATTCGTCCTGAAGGCGGTAAAAAAACACTGACGGTTTTATAGTGTTGGGGAAAAGGGCTTTGTTTTTAGTATAGACATTTCCGTTGTACGGTCAGATTCATTCGTTCAGAAGGCAAAAAACACTGTTAAAAAACAGAACCCTTTTCCTCTAACGCTATCCGCCAGTGTTTTTTACCTTCTGAACGAGCGAATCACGGACCGCTTACGTTACAACGGAAATGTCAGTAAAATAATACTCAGGTTTGCTTTCGTAATTGCAAGAAAGATATTTACAGTCGTATCCTTCATTTCAATCACCCCTATCCTCAAGTCCGTATTTTCTCGGGTTCAGTCAATGTATTGGACCATACCTTTCTTAAAGGAAGAAATATAATACTCTGAAGACCAACCTATTTTCGAAACAGCTTTTCCAGGAAGCTTAAAACGCTGAACACGCTCTTCAATGTTAATGCTCCACAATGACGCCAGTTTCTAAAGAGAAATGTGACACCTAAAGTCCTCTACAAACATTACGTTAAAAAACTGGTTTGATTGGCTTGCTATTTGAACTTTCGTTCAACGGTCACACAACACTCACGCTTCTTGACAAATCATTTATTACTGGAACTTTTCTTGTTCTTTGATATCCCTCTCCGAAAATTCCGAAGCCTATTTAAATTTTACTCAAAATAAGAAAGGACTAACTGAAATTCTGGTTCATAATCATTGAAATGAAGAAAGATTTAAGAAACAGCAGAACTGCTAGGGATGTCTCACGCGATCCCCAGTGGACTCKGGAAACTATCAGTCTTGAGGGCAGCTAAGGGATGCCTTAGGAGATCCACAGGGGACTTTGGGATGTGAGAGACACTAATAGTCATGTGAGTCGCTTATAGTCATAAGAGTAAGCCAGGGACAGGGGACAGTAAAGAAAGTCCAAGGGGACTCAGGGACTGCAAGACAGGGACAAACGACACCATAGGCCAATAGAGCTGAAGATGGATGTGATATCTATATCAGGTGCTGGAATTTCACTATTTGATGTGAGGTAATGTCTAGCCATGCTCACACTCTCACATAGCTTTACTTTTGGTTATTAATATCAAAAGAATCAAGGAAAGAATCAAGGAAAGATGCAGATTGAGGTAAAATAAATAGTAAACGCCTCACCTAGAATTTCAAAGAGTTGAAGAAAGCATACAGAAATCGCTTACTAGTGCCGTTTCGTCGACATATATATGTTCAAATTTCTACCAATTTGAAGACTCGTAGGTTGAACAATTCATGTTAAGAAGCACTCTTCAGTGAATATGAAGGAAAACTAAAGCCAGACTTCGACTTTCTGAGGTATTTATTTGCCATAAAGAATGGCCAGAAAGTCACAATATTGAGCAAAACTATAAGCATGATAAACGATCGAAGCCGTGTGTGTCAGTTCTGAAACATCGATTTATTACAGGATTCGCTTCAAAACTCAATAAAATAACAAAGAACTAAACAAAATACAAACTGGAAGCAAAATATAAGGTCGATTACCCATCTTACCAGTTAAATTGAGCATTTTAATAGAGCGAAATACTTTAGTCTCTGCGTAAAGGCACAACTGGGGCACTTGGGGCACAGGGTAATATCCTCGAACTAGTTCGCCAAAGGCAGTTTGATTCACTATGACAACGTTCAAGAAGAGCCGAAAGAACTTTTAAAAAATGAATTCCCCTTCCTAGGGATCATTCTGATGAAGTTATTTCGGGATTTCGAGTTGAAAAAGACAGTGAAAATAAACTAATAAATAATGGCTGAACTTTTCTTCACTGACAAATATCAGCTTCAATTTAAATCTCGAGATTGCATGCTATTGACATCTCATAAAGCCATAAAATTGTAAAACATTCATCTAAACCGTACTAATTTCAAGTAATAAGTATAATTTGTACATAAACTTACCTCGAAGAAGAGCAAATAGAGCAGAATATAGATGGATGTTTACCTAGCATGCTTTGCGCGCCGTATTATTATGCACGTGCACTAGGTTTCGATTCTTTGAAAATTTACTCGTGACAAACATTTTCTCTACTTTTTCCCCAAACCAAAACAACAGCCGTACGCCTATTAAAATGTATGTGCATCCATACTCATGGGCAATTTTTGCACTATTATCATGGAACGGTCGAAATGTGCTGTACGAATGAATGCGTATGAAAATATAGAAATCGTTTTGAAAAGCGGAGTGCTTCTGTAGGCTTTACTACGGTTTGCGATCTATCGTGAAGCGTGACGCGCCAAACTCGTTTTTATGAGTTAATATATCCCAGACGTTTGGCACAAATAACTGTCAAGTTTGACATGTGAAACTTTTACGATGGCGCCGACAAACTTTTATTTTGCACGTGGAATGTGCGAAGTTTTATCTAGTCCGTTCATTTGTTGCGAAGATGGCGACGGTAAAGGTTAAAATATTGTACGGTCCTTCCTACGAAAGATGCAAAGTTTTAAACTTTTGATCGAAAAGAGTTCCTCGCCACTGCTGGGCTTTGATTTATTTTCCAAAAGACTTGATCAAGCAGTTTGGAATGATAGTGAAACGCAATACAGAGACGACGAAGAAACGTTCTTAACTAATACTTTTGAAATTTCCACCGCGATTGAATAAAGATTGTTCTTCATAGCTTTCTCAAAACTGCTTCCAAATTTTSCTTAGGCCTAGGGCAAACGCTTTCACCAGAGTTAATATAGGCGACTCTATTAACTCTGCTTTCACCTAAGCGGAAACACTTCTAAAGAAAACCGCCACTAATTGGGGGCAGTAAGTTAACTTTTGGCTCCTCAAACTTTGACGTTCGGCGCTTCAAACTCTTCGTATGTTTCTCGATATCGTGGGAGCAATCAATTGTTCTTTAATTTCCTGAATAGAAGTTATCCTTTCTGAACAATAGTTTCCAATAATACTTTATCGTCAAATGATAATATACTTGGTAATGGATCTACGCATAATTAATAGAGGGGAATTAACTATGATCTACGTCGCCTGTTTCTCGATACTGTATTTCTTTTAAAACCACTTTGAAACTGTGGAAGGCCTACTCGCAATTGCATACTCATATCTAAACCATCTAGGTAGTGCTGCACCTGAATGAAAATTGCGACCATAAATGTTTGTACGAATCATAATTACTCGGAATTTCGCGCAAACTTTTAACGTTTCACTCTGGGACACCGGTAATGTTTTCATGTGAAAACATATGAGGCGCCGAACATCAGATTTTGGTCATCCAAAGTTAACGTACCGTCCCCCAATTAGTGGCGGTTTTCTTTAGAAGTGTTTCCGCTTAGGTGAAAGCGACAGTAAGCACAAGCATAAGAACACGTCCTCGCTATAGCTGACATAAGGCAACATAAGCAGAAGCATAAAAAGATGGAGATTGCTTTGATAATAATAATAATAATAAAAACTTTATTAATGTCTCTAATCTTCTAGCCGGGCACAAGTGCCCTACCAATCGGGGAGATCCTTGTGCTTATGCTTTAATATGCTTGTGCTTATGTCGCATTGAGGACGTCAACCGTCAACAGAGAAGTGAGTGGGCTTGGTACGCTTATGTCTGTGTTTATGCTTATGCTTGGCGCTAGTGAAAACCACGCTTAAAAGTTTCACATGTCAACTTAATAACTATCATAAAAACAAGTTTGGCGCGTCACGCTTCGCGATAGATCGCAAATCGTAGTAAATTGTGTACGAACAAGTCGACTTAGGTCTAGACGAAGAGTATTTTAAAAAGGATATATACATAATATAGTCTTCAAAGTATAGAGTCGCCATGACGTTTGAGTAAGATTTTAGCCTGCGTCACATCCGGAATTGTCTTCGTAAATACCAGTATTTACGAAGACAATTCCGGATGTGACGCAGGCTAGTGAGATTTCCACTAAAAAACTGCCATGCTTTTCACTTCGTACTGACGTGACCTGCTTCTGACCTGCTTCTGACCTGCTACTAACAAAAAAGATAGGTGCTTAACGATTGTATGTGGCGACTGCAGAGTCGTGAAAGTCGAATGCTTATGAAATCAAACATTTATAATGAATCATGTTAGTCACATACGGTATTTTGTGGTGGTTTTGAAATGATTGTGAGTAAAGAATTTAATGGATAATGACTGTGCGTGTTGGACAAAAACTGAACTCTCACGGGTTCGGACTGCGGAATTATGATTTATCAGGAATGTCGTGCGATATGAGGGATAGCACTGAAAAGTGACCTTATTCGAAATTACCAAACAATATTTTCTGAAGCCAAAGAGGCTTAATTATTCTCCGACGGAAGAGACTCAATTCTGATATGTCCCCTTACACGCGGCTTTTGTTTTCCCCAGTACATTTGTTTTCGCGTCTTGTGTCGGCTGGGAAGTGTCGGCTTTTAAAAACACTGGCCTAAAATTTGAATAACACTTACAAAACCTTTCATTTGACCTACAGAAATACTAAATGAAAGCTGTGATAAATAATATTGATAAATTTTATGAAAATAGTTTACTTACTTGAATTATCAACCTTCCGAACTAGCGAAACCAACAAGGTCGAACCACGAGGCTTTATCGATCGCTCGTCATCCCTTCGACTCCCGTTGTACATCAGTTACAATTCGGTAGTAGCGAGATTTAGTTTCCGAAGTTCATCCACTGATGGAGAACTTGACTGGCTTTTTGCTGATTTATTTGTTGTGTTGCTTAGCTCGATTAGCTTTCTGGTAATCCATGCCGTCTTAGCTTTTATTTCATYTAATTAATTAATGTCATTTGATGTAATTATTTCGTGTGTGGTATAAATAATTAAACTATTCAAACTGGCCATTAAATCCCACAGCGAAAATGATTTAATGACATGCAAGAGTATATAATGAATAACCTGCAATGACCCCTAGAGTTAGTTGCCCTAACGGCGTGATGAAGAATATAAAACCTGACAACTAACTGGTAGAGTGGTAGGAGGTCCGGGAGCATTTAGCTCGTTCGAACGAGCCGACACTAAAAACGTCTGCACAGCAGGCTAGGGAGCATTGGACTTTAGTCTGGCTCTAACAGTGCGGACACTCGAACCATCAACACTTCAAAGCTTCTTGACATTTTTTCAAAACTATCCAATCACAGCTCTCTGTGCTAGAAAGAAAGGAATCAAACGTTTTTAGGCGCCATCCAATCACAGTAAACGGCGAAAAATATTTAGATGCCTTATTTTTAGCTCACTGTGTGTGAACTAATGAACTGAGTATGCAAAACTGTGGCACAAAGTGCAAACTTTCAATAATTTACAGAAATAAAACAAAAATATCGTTTATTGACGAAGTAGCTGTTATGAAATAAAACTTTACGGCAACAATAACACAAGAGACTCTGAAATCGCACGAAAAATGTTGCAACCTCTGTAAGAATCTGGCTTCTGATTGGATGATTTGGAAAATGTTTAAAAAACCTTGAAGTGTTCATAGTTCTAGTGTTCGCACTGTCATAGGACAGTTGCATGATGGCGTCATTGACCAAATGTTTTGCTTTTCTCATGAGGGAATATAAATTTAAATACGAAAGAAAATTTTAGAAGCATTATGGGTAGGAGTCAATGGACGCCATCATGCAAACATCCTATTAGATCATTCTTCAGGAATAAGAATAGAACGAAGGTTTTAGGAACAGCCTATTTTTCTTCCCCCTCCCACCCTCCCCCTTTTTTCATCCAACGTCTTTTAACAACAACAACAACAACAACTTTATTTTGAACCACTCTCTTA